GTCCTGGAATGATGAGATCTGTGCAGAGTTGAGGAAAAATGAGAGCATGTTAGTCCAGGGAAGGGAGGAATCATTAGTCCATGAGGAATCATTCCTTTTTCCCCAAAATTTCAATCTTCTTAAAATTGATAGAATATATTTAAGCATTTGAAAATTGCTGAAAAGATAACTTAAATACTTATCATTCTTGTCACTCTTTCTCCCACTTAGTAATTAACAATTTTTTTCTTATTTGATAACTGAAAACAATGTGTAGGAAATATTATTAACTTAATTGTGGCTGTGTAATGAAGAGTATAGTAGAACAAATTTAGTGTGTGTAATATCATTGAAGTCCTGGGAAAATTTTCAAAGAAATAGATAGACAAAAGCCAGTAAAGATGCTTCTTTTATACTTAATAAAGATAAAAGAATTATAATAAAGCTACAAGGCAGTAACAACTGATATTTGGGGTTTTCACAGAAAAAGTAGAATGGGAGGTGTCTTCCTTCAGAAATGGTCAGTCTAAGACTATTCTTCAGTCCAGAAGTCTCAAATGTCCCTGGCTTTATGCTACTGAACTATCTGTCCTTACCTTATTATGAACATCTGAGTCACAATGCATTGAAAGAGTTTATACCTACTGATACCAAGATCTGTATGACACTTGTTCAGTTCTGAAGGATGATGAAGATTACATCAAGGTTCTCTTCCATTTTTTTTAACAGAGATTTTTTTTTATAGAGCATGGGCATTAACTGGAGACACAGAGAGAGACAGAGAAAGAGAAAGTGAGAAGTCACTCCTCAGGAGGGATGATCATGCCACAGTCCTTTCTCCATTCTCCTCTGGGGGTTTGGGTGCACAGACACACAAGCCTGGCATGAATTTCAAGCTGGCAGGTCCAGGACTCAAATTTCAGTCAGCCATGTGTGAATCCAGTGTCTTAGCCTGCTACACCAGCTGCTAGTACTGCTGCCTTTTTTTATTTTTAATCAGAGTTAGACTAATCGTTTCTCATACATATTTGCGAAATAGGGAAAACTTCTATACATTCATTGACTCTTTTAATACTCATAACAGATTATTAAAGCATTTCATAGATGAGGAATCTGAGGTACATGGAAGGAAATAATTTAACAATAATCATGGTTAAAAAGTGGCAAATTATTGGACTAGCTCTGTGCTCTAGAAGTTAGAGGATCTGTGCAGCTCAAATTCTAGCCCTGGCAGTATGAAAAACATGCCAGGGTGCTGACAGGATGGAGAAAAATGGAAGAGAAGAGATTACACTGGGACCACACCCCATTAGGGGAGTATTTTCTTTCTCTATCTCTCTGGTGAGCACATATGTCCTATAGTAGAGTAAAAATCAGTTTTTTAAGTGGCAAATCATTCTTATGGTTGGCCTTGTGAGAAATATGTAAAGTACTTAAAATTAATGGGGAAGAGAGTTTTAATTATGAGTTTTCGATATAAGTTTTAAATGAGTTGTCTGGAAATCACAAATTACCACTGTATTGGAAAATTTTCAAGGTGGTATTACACTATATGCCATGTAATATTCCTTGGTAATCAAAATTTATGTATTCAGAGTATATCTGGCTCTGAGGACAATGAGAATGAATGGGCTAGGGACCCCAAACACAGTTTTATCTTCCTTTATACCCAGCCCTCCATCTGCCACAGTGTTGTCATATCAGTCTTCCTACTCTGGACATTGGCAGGATTGATCTTTCTAAACTGGAAATATCCATGATATTCTAGGAATCAGTGACCTTTGAAGATATAACTATAAACTTCACCCAGGAAGAGTGGGCCCTACTGGACACATCCAGGAGAATGCTATACAAAGATGTGATGTTAGAAAATATTAATCATCTGATATCTCTTGGTGAGCCTGTCTACATTTATGTATGTATGCTTATATGTATCCATTTGTTTCATCAATCAGCAGGTTTCTCACTCCAATCTCTGTCTTGATTCTTTCATAGACCTTATAACTATATGAAAGTAAGTTGTTTCTTTATACCTTGTTTATATCCATTTTATTACTGCTCCAAAATGTGGCCTAAACCATAGTTTTATGTTTTTCTTGCTACTAAATCTCCAAAAGGAGAGCAGAACTGGAAGCTCAACAGATATTTTTAAACGTATAAATAGATTAAATATTTTATAAACATAGCCATCCCCTGTTGGATTGGTTCCAGGTATATCACAATTCAAAAACGCTCATCTCTTATATAACAATAATGTGGTATTTGTATATAACCAGTGTATTTCCTCCAATGTACTTTGAAGTCATCTTCAGATTACTTGTAATACCTGATACAATGTAAATGTTATATAAAGCAGTTATATTTGGTTTTTTAAATTGTCGAAATGTTATTGTTTCCCCATACGCTCTTGATCAGCATTTGGCAGAATTTGGTCATGTGAATCCTATGGATATGGATGGTCAACTGTAATTATTTAGCTGTAGGTTCTATATTGAAGCTTGAGAACATAGTAGTGAAAAATGCCATAATTTTGGTTATTGTTATGGAGCTTATGGCTATTGGATTCTGTTTGAATTAGCCTTCTGTGGACAGGTTTAATTTCTACTTTCTTTTGAAGATTAATAATTCTGCCTTTGAAATTGGGCATGAGCATCAGCATCTTGAGGTCTTTATTGTGGACACACAATCTGGATTTCTTCCTGGTCTAGTGAAGGACCTTCAGAGTTCCCTGTGTTAATCATTCCTCCTGGACTGATTTCCAACAACATTCTCTTTATTGTTCTGTAATAGCCATTAATGGACTTCATAATAATACACATCTATCTGCAGTATATTCAAAATCCATGTATCTTTTTTGCACAAACAGGATATCAGCTCTGCAAATCAGATATGATTTTCCATTTGGAGCCAGGCAAAATGCTATGGATTGTTGAAGGAAGTAGGTTTTTCCAAGACCACAGTCCAGGTCAGCAACAAGAACTTGTACCTCAATATAAAGAACTGCCTCATTACTATATCTTTGTCATATCAATCATAATGTATATGTCCTTCTACCATTTTTTTTTAATTTTATAAAAAAGGATATTAATATATTTAATGGAGTTAAATTTTCATATAGTAAGTCTTGTTCTTATCCTGCCATTTCCCTCTCTCTCTCTGTTCTTCTTCTTTTTTTTATTTATACTATAGGGTACATGTGCTTGCCAGAGAGACAGAAAGAGACAGAGAGACAGGCAGCAAGAAATCACCACCTGGGGAGATGGCCATTTGGCAAGCCCTTCTCCTCCATTCTCTTCTCAGGATTTTGGGCACACATGCACATGCACGTGATGTGTTTCAAGCCTCCAGGTCTGAGACTCAAACCACAGTTGGCCATGTGGGAGTCCAGCAATGTAACCATTATGCTGTCTGATGGTCCCAATTTTTTCTCTCTTTACCTACACAGAATCCTGTCTTCATTTCACAGTTTTCATCTTTCCTTTCTAAACGTATTTTTAAATTTTTAGTGTCCTATGATATGTTTTTCTTATCTATAGTATTCCTTCATATGACATATTTGTTCTAAGTTCCAGTTTCCAAAACATATATGGGCTTTAGTGCTTTTATTTCCCTAATGCTATGCCAACAATTTATTTTTGCAGTCATTAAAGACAGAGAAAGTGTATATAAAAAGCAAGAAGTAATATCCACACATTATATCAGCAAGGGCACAGCCACCATCAGGTCAATGGTAAGTTGCATGAATGTGGATTCTGGTCATTCAAATAAATACTTAGTAAAGGAATATGTTAGTACCTGAGTACAATTGTTTGACTATTATTAAATGGCGATTAAATTTTTTCTGAGCCAAAAGTTGGTTAATTGGAATATAGGGAATAAATTAACTTGGTTTTGAAACCATAACCTGAGATCATAAAACACGGATAATTGCATAAGCACTGCTCATCTACCTAGTCATTAAAACAAATTGAAGTCTTCCAAAGTAACTTGGCCTCCCTGCAGTTTGGATGCTACAAAAGAGAAAATATTTGTGTTGACAGTACACCATGGAAACATACTATGTCTGTGCCAGTAACAAAAGATTTTAAGTGTGCACTATCACTGAAAGCTTAGTCTAAAAGTTATATGTAGGAAAATTAATGTATGGATTTATGTGGACAAACCATTAATAACTTTTTGTCTTCTTCATAAAAGCAGAAATCTCATGCTCATGATGATCTATTTAAATGGAAAGATTTGGGAAAAGATCACTTTCACAGCTGTGAAATGAGTCAAAATTTGTCACCTCACTCAGCAAAGAAACCATTCATTAGCAAACAGTGTGGAAAATCTAGTAGTGACAACTTCAACTTTCATCAACAGAAGAAAAAACAGGCAAGGGGAAAATCATATGAATGCCCACAGTGTGAGGAAACCTTCAGTAATTGCTCTATCCATAAACAGCACAAGATGACTCATACTGGAGAGAAGCCATATGAACATCATCTGTGTGAGAATGCCTTTATTCATTCCTCTGACATTCAAAAGCACAATCAAGCTCACATTGCAGAGAAACCATATGAATGCCACCAGTGTGGGAAAACTTTCAGTCAACCTTCTAACCTCAGACTGCATGAGAGAACTCACACTGGAGAGAAACCATATAAATGTAATCTGTGTGAGAAAGCCTTTAGTCAGTCTTCTAGCCTTAGAGTACATGAGAGAACACACACTGGAGAGAAACCATATGAATGCCATCTATGTGGGAAAGCCTTCAGTCAGTCTTCTAACCTTAGACTGCATGGGAGAATACATACTGGAGAAAAACCGTATGAATGTCATATATGTGGGAAAGCCTTTAGTCAATCTTGGGACCTTAAGGTGCATGAGAGAACACACACTGGAGAAAAACCATATGAATGCCATTTGTGTAGGAGAGCCTTCAGTCAGTCTTCTGCCCTTAGACTGCATGAGAGGACACATACTGGAGAGAAACCATATGAATGTCATCTGTGTGGGAAAGCCTTTAGCAAATCTTCTGCCCTTAGACGACATGAGAGAATACATACTGGAGAGAAACCATTTGAATGTCATCTTTGTGGGAAAGCCTTTAATCAATCTTGGGAACTTAGAGGACATGTAAGAACACATACTGGAGAGAAAACATATGAATGCCGTCTATGTGGAAAAAGCTTCAGTCATTCTACTCACCTTAGACAGCATGAAAGAACACACACAGGGGAGAAATTATATGAGTGTCATCTCTGTGGGAGAGCTTTCAGTCAGTCGTCTTCCCTTAGACGACATGAGAGAATGCACAGTGGAGAAAAACCACATGAATGCCATCTGTGTGGGAAAGCATTCAGTCAATCTGCTCACCTTAGACAACATAAGAGAACACATACTGGAGAGAAGCCATATAAATGTAGTACATGTGGCAAAGCCTTTAGCAAATCATCTGCCCTTAGACTACATGAGAGAATACACACTGGAGAGAAACCATTTAAATGTCATCTTTGTGGAAAAAACTTTAATCAATCTTGTGACCTTAGAGGACATGTAAGAACACATACTGGAGAAAAACCATATGAATGCCATCTTTGTGGGAAAAGCTTTAGTCAGTCCTCTCATCTGAGACAACATAAGAGAACCCACACTGGGGAGAAATTATATAAATGTCATATGTGTGGGAAAGCCTTTGGTCAGTCGTCTTCCCTTAGACGACATGAGAGAACACACACACGAGAGAATGATTAATGCCTTCAGTGTATACTCTGACCTACAATGACATGGTACTATAAATATAATTTGGAAGAATATTCAACCGTATTGTATGCTTGAATGTACCTGAGGATGCACACATTGATGAAACACTCTACAATCAGTGTAGAAGATCCTGCATCATCCTTACTACTAATTTGATGTACACAAATGTTTATGGAAGAGAAGCTCTATGTATAAATTCTGTGTGGCAGATCTCAGTAATCATAGATGAAATAACTTGTCCTGAAATACAATGAAAATAGAATTCATTAATGAAAACTCTTGACTTTAAACACATTAGTGGACTTATACAGGAATAAGCCTCTAGATCCATAGTTGGTGTGGGAATGTCTCCATTTATAATTAGTTGTTAAACAACATAAGCAATTGCTTCTTGGGAGTACCTCTTGGTCTCTAATACTCTGAACATTCAGCCATGCACCAGTCTTACGCACACACACACAAAAAATCAGTGAATGAATATCTACCAAAACAAAATAAGATGAATGTGAGAATATCTTCAGTGATCACTCATTTCATACTCAAAGTTCTCTCAATAAGAAGATACCAATTCCAAAAGTGATAATGACATGTTCAACATCAGAAAACTGTCCAAGAAAAAAATTCTAAAAGAATCTTTTAATACATAATTTAGCAAATTATTTAGAATTTTGAGAAAATATTCATTGCAAGTGTGGCATATAATTGTAGGATTGAAGAGGCCAGCAGGTGGCATGTTGGTTGAGGCACTGGACTCCCATATGGCTGACATGGTTCAAGTCCCAAACCTGGAGGCTTGAAAATCATGCCAGGCACAGTTGCATGCTAGCCTAAAATCCCAGGAGGCAAATGGAGAAGGGATTGCAGTGTGACAATCCTCCTGTGGGGTGATTTCTCACTTTCCCTCTCATTCTCTCCCCCTAGTGACAACACGCTACAGCAAAAAAAAGCCTAAAATAATTATAATAGTTGTAGGATTGAGACATTATCTGGGAATATTAAGTGCAGATGTTTCTAAGAAGTTTTATTTATTTTCAAGTATATAAATCTGACTTGCATATAGGAATTAGGTTAGTACTTGCAGACATTTAACATTTGTTGCTGAAAAGTCTATGATGGCGATGTTCTACTTTTAATCATGTAGTTTTAAACCCAGATTTCGGTCCAGACTTGTCATGGCTGAATATTCAGCTCCACTTTGAGTCTTCCTTTTTTCCAACAATTCCTTTTAGCACAGACAGCCTCCCTTTTAACTTGCCTCCAGCACCTTAAGAGTAACAGACATACAACTTTATTTTTCAAATTTCTCAGAGGATCATGGGAGTAGTATCATGGACATCTAGTCTAAGCCTTTTAGGATTTTCCAAATCCTGGTTTCTGACCCTAGAAATTACCTGGGGATAGAGAAGCTCCCTGTATCTCACAGAGCATTCTGGATTTTGTTCCTGAAACTGTTCAACTGAGAAGGAGCAGTAGTTCGTCCCTCAACTACTTTCCATATCTTAATCAGAAGTTACATAAATAAAAGACTCCATAAAAATCTGTTGAAACTGAAAAATTATGGGACCAGCAGTTGGCATAATGACTATGTCACTGGACTCCCATATAGCCAACCACAGTTTGAGTCCTGGACCTGGTGGCTTAAACTCATGCTGGGTCATGTGCATGCATGCCTAAGATCCTAAGAAAAAAATGGAGGAGAAGGGACTGTGGTGTGGCCATCCTCCCTGGGGTGGGGGTGGGGTGTCTCGCTTTCTGTCTCTGGTGAGTGCATGCACCCTATAGGAAAAACCTCTCATAAAAAATAAAAATAAAGTAAATAAAAAAAAAACTGATAAGTCCTGGGTCTGGCCCCACAGCCTAGTAGGTAAGGGAGACCGATCACAATGGTCGACTGCAGTTCAAATCCTGGCCCCAGTGGCTTGAAAAAAATGCAGTGTATGAATGTGTGCCCCAAATCTTGACAGGATGGAGAAATGGAAGAAAAGGGATTGTGATGTGACTATGCCCCATTGGGGTTGCCTTCTCTCTGGTGAGTACATGTGCCCTCTAGCAACTAATTAAAAAAAAATTCTGTAAAGTTGCAGGATGGAAAATTAGCACAGAAATCAGTAGTATTTTTGTGTTACAATAATGAGCTAGCTAAAAAATAAAATCCCATTTTCATAGCTGCAAAAAATACCTAGGAACAGTTTTAACCAATTAGACAAAAGAGCTCTACAATGTAAACTATAATATTGATTAAATAAGTTGAAGACAAAAAGAAAAATGGAAAGACATCCCATGTTTATGCACTGGAAGAACTAATATTAAAGCGGCCACAGTATCCCCAAATGTTCTACAGGTTCAATACAATTCATAACATACTAGTGGCATTCTTCACAGAAATAGAAAACCCAATCATATAATTCATACAAGCCACAAAAGATTCCGAATAAAGCAATCCTGAGTAAAAAGAATAAAGCTGGAGGGAGAACACTACCTGACTTCAAAATGTACAACAAAGCTATGATAACCAAAAAGCATGATAGTGGCATTAAAATGAACACATAGAAAAATGAAACAATAGAGAACCTAGAAATAAATATGTATATAAACAGCCAGCTGATCCTCAACAAAGACATTAAGAACAAATTGGGGAATGGACAGTCTTCAATAAATAATGCTGAGAAAATTAGACATCCACTTGGAAAGGTATGAAACTAGACTCATATATGCAGAGGTTATATTATATGCAAAGGTTACTCAAGAGACCAGGTGTGATACAGAGGTAATGCTACTTACCTATGTGAGAAAGGTCCTCAGTTTGGGTCCCAGGACTTCCCAGAGATTGCCATGCTTTCTGTGATCTAGGCTGGCTGAGATTGGAGGCGGGTTGTGGTGTTAGAACCTGATGAGTCTTTCTCCCCCTTCCTCCTGCTCTTGTGAGAAGTAAGGTATTATTATTATTATTATCGATAACTGAAAATGTCTAAAGACTCAAATGTAAGACCTGAAACTTTACTAGAAAATTGGAAACACTTCAGGACATCAGATTTCAAAAGCACAGGCAACAAACCCCAAAATAGACAAATGGCATTGTATTCAGCCAGAAAGTTTCTGCACAGTAAAGGAAACAATAATATGAAGCGATTACCTATAGAATCAGGACATACTTGTAAACTATGCATTCAATGAATTAATATCTAGAAATATAAGAAAAGTCAGGGGGAAAAGGGGGGGGGGAAGAAAAGACATTTTTCAAAAAAAAGACATACCCACAGCCAACAAGAATGGAAAACTGCTCA